GGCATAAGGGAGGCGAATATATTTTAGGCTAAAATTTTGAGCCACACCACAGCGTCCATCGTAAAATAATGGAGAAACAATAATGTAATGAGAAACATCACTTATAAGACTTTTTACTGGCACTGAATCGGTATGAATTACAGAAGACATCAATGAATGATTTTCTTCTTCTCAATTTTTCTTTTTTCTCTTACTGGTCTGCATTTTGACTGTCTTCTATTGCTTTCGCCTTTTGTTTATTACAAGTATTTAGCATGTTAGTAGATTATTAACGGTTGAAACATAACCCGGTGAAAGACTTACTTAAAATCGTCAGTTATTCAAGCAGTTACTTTTTTGATTTGATTTTGGTAAGTAATTCACCGTGACTGGCTTGAGTTCACCTGTGTTTGACAATCTCGTGTCGATGTTTCCTGTGATCTTGACACCATCTTCCTATTAGCGCCTAACTCATGCGTTCGGGCACTCTCGTATATTCACTGTCGGAACTTCAATCATTTTATTTCCCTAGAGATAGTTGCTGCCTATAGGAAACTTTGCAGAATTGAGTCCCTGCCGAAGAACAAATCTGGTTCAACATACCTCAACGACTTCCGTCCCATGGTCATTTCTTCCATTTTTGTAAAATCTCTCCAACTTTCTGTTCGCTCTCCGCTGAAGAGTAACATTTCCACTGCTAAAATCCTTACACATTCACGAACGACTGAAGCATATTACAGGCAACTGACATCTAGATTAGGCTGTCACGCAGCACCGAGACAAGGTAAAAACATCAGTCCATTGTCTTTCCCTAAATCTTAGCTGTGCATTTAATACGATCTCGCGACCCAAACTGTTCAATAAGTTAACTCTAATTAAACCGAATGAAAACATACTCGCTGGTTTGGCGACTATTTCACTAACAGAAAAAACAATATCTGGTCATTGGATTTCACAAGCCCAGTCCCGACAGCAATCATTTCAAAGCGTCGTATTATCTCCTCTCCTCTTCATCCAGAGTGGCGACCTAAAGTTCATCGACCCATCATGCTTCTTCAAATGTGCAGACGACACGATAGCCACCACAGCTGTGACAACCATATCTTCACCTCCGACCAACCAAACGCCATGTCCAGCCTCGTTAAAACTTAGTTACAAGTAGTACTGCGGTTTAATCCAGATAGGTTTCAAGAGATGTGCCATTTAAATAAAAATACAAAAAAATCCTCAGCTTCTATACGTATGCGACATTCCTTCTAAAATTTTTGATGCTGAAGTTTAACATGCAAACTCCATGATTATCTTTGCGTCACTTTATCTCAAGATCTGTCTTCGTCTGAACATGTGAAACCAATTGCTAATAAAACGCGGAATAGCGTTTACAATATTTTCGTTTGAGGCAAGTGGGAGCTCCAAAATGCATTCTACTGTTTCGTCAAATCGTGCATGCTTTCAATTTTTATCTATGGCCCTTCCATATCTTCTTTCCTGAACTTTTCAAAACCAAGCTCTGCGTTATGCGCCGGGACTGCAGGCAGTAACTGAGTAGTACTGGCCGCTTTGACAGCCAAATAACCTGTAGAACGCATCCTGAAAGCTTGCTCGTGGTTGGGCACCGATATTCTCTGCAACAGAAGCCAGCTGCTTCATCGGGCTGTTGATGTATATTTTCCCACATTCCTGTATAACACTTATTGTCCATCGGCACTAATACGAAATTCAGTAACTACTGCCTTGATTCGTATCATGAACGATACATAGTCTTTTGCAGATAGATAGTGTAAAGAGTTACTTAATTTGCCTAAGGCTTAAAGTGCGTTTGTTCGTTTCATTAAAACTTTTTTGCCCTTTTCAGCTGAAACATGGCCATGATCTGTATATTCAGGCAGTAAAATACATTCACTCATTCATTCAATGGGTTCAGGCGACACAAAAGTTTCGTTGACCAATCAGAGAGCTGCCCAAATGAGTACCAGGTGCTAGCAGTAAAAAAACAGGATGTGGTTCAGGTGTGCGCGTAAGAGATGCAGGGTCGACCGTAAATCTGGCATCAGATTTTCTTATAAACTTCTACTTTCACCGAGAAAAGAATTCGCCCCATTACGTCTCGATGCAGCTAGCCGACGGTCGGTTGGCAAACCGTTGCTCCGCCAACAATAGAAGTATAATCGTATTCGGGTATGGTATGCTAATGAGTCATTTTGCATAATGAGTCATGATGTCATTTTGCCATCGTCGTCTGAGACTAACAGACTTTAAATGTCATAGTACCCGAGATTAACGAAGTCTGAACGTTAGAAATGGTACCTCAGAATGATATTAAGTGGTCATGTAAGAAACTGCTATGTTGGACATGTGCCTTAACCCACTGCTTAATCAACCTGACGGCTGATTACAAACCAGCATTAGGTGTAACCATTAAATAAAAAACAAATAAACACAACACAAACGTATATGCAAACTAACGCAAACTCGTAATATATACCCATGATGTTTGCAGTCAGCAGCAACGACAGTCGGTCCTTTGACTGGACGGTATGCGCCTCGATGCGATGGTAATACTTCGCTACTTCACCAGGAAAACAACGATACAGCAGTACTGTGCTCTCGCAGACGAATATGTCCTCCAGGGTGTATTCGTCGAACACGGTCCGGAGCACGTTGGTTTGCCAGTGTAACGTACGTTCGACAGCTTCATCTGAAAATCAGTTGCAGACATCCGTGTCCAACCTCCTGACAGGCAACGGTCACCAAGCAAGAGGAATAACGTTTCCGTGCTCGTCGCCAGTCAGGTTGACCTGAATGAGTGCTACAAGGATGAGATGACTTACCTTCGGCACGTCTGTCGGCGTCGTGCATCGCTTCCAGACGACGCTTGAACCGGTGCAGCCAACCGTTGCTGCCTTTGAAATCGTCAATGCCTAAATCTCGAGCGATCTGCTTCGCTTTTGCCTGTACCAGCGGTCCAGACACCGGCAAGTTCTGCGCTAAACACCAAACATACGGTCAGCAGAGGTTAATATTCTGAGTAAGAGTCGACGGCATTCGCCGGCGGTACTCACATCTCGTCGTCTGAAACCACGCCTCTAACTTCGCCTCCACCGTTTCGTATTTCGCCGCTCGACGACGAAACTGGCCAAGACTAAACTTACCCAAAGGGTCCAGGTCCACGAAGCCCGACTTTTTCAGTCGACCGACTACAGCTCGGCAAACGCCGGTTTTCTCCGAGATTTCCTTGACAGTAAGTTTACTGCCGCGTCCCATTTCCGTTATCTGTTTCAGCAAACCCAACGAATACTTGCGCCTCGTGCGACGCGGTACAGTTGTCGGTGTACGGCCCATAACCTCACCCATCCGATACCTCGAAGCTCTTGTACCGAAGCGCATTTACAGTTGCAGTATTTTGAATTCATTGACAATCATTATGAGCATCAACCACTGAGGCAAATATGTAAAAATTACTTATATGTACATCAGTTATACAGTAATTAATTTCTAATATGTACATAAGTTTTTCCCAACTATTTTCGTTTCCCCGTAAAGCTAACAGTTTCGATGAATGAATATATTCATGTCCTGACTAGAATCATAAACAGAATGTACCTTGTGCATCATTCTAATGGAAATTTAATTCACATAACAAATTCAGCAGAAATGATCACTTTAAATGTACAGCGTCCTCTGAAGAACTGTTAAGCTGAAAAGGCAATAGTTTAATATTGATAATTTCCTGGACTAAACAAACTTTTATGCACATAAACCATAGTTAATATAAATTAAAACTGAACTCCGCGGTTACTGGTCCCAAGACCTGGAAGAGAAAGATGGACGTTTGGGAATACTGGCGAGATATACGTAAACTTTTGCCATCTGTCCCCCATGCCCTTTCCGTAATTTAACATAGTCCCGGTCAGGAAGTTTCCGTGGTTACCAAAAACCGTGCAGGTTCTTGGATTTCTGAGGCAACGAAAAGTCTATTAAGAACTTGCTCGCCAATTTTTGGCTGTTCGGAGTACAGCGACAAAAGCTAAGGAAGACAACGAAATGACGACCAAGATAACAGTCAGCAACCGAGCCGCTAACGGTTTTGAAGAAAGTAAGCAGACATTTCAATGCCGTTATGACACGTCGGATAAGGTTCCAGCTGAACGATACCAACAATTGGAACTTACCGTCAGAGATTTTAGTTTATCCTCATTCAGAAGGAAAAGGCGGGAGTTAGTTAATGAGGTCGAAAGTACCACCTCACTACAGTCTGCCTCTCACTCTCGAAGCACTATAACTCTGGAATTCTAAATCTCTGCGTGTGACATCTATTTCGCTCTGGTGTCGTCTGCACGATATGCGATAAGATCGGTATCTGCCTTCTGGTAAAACCATATGTGACTCGCAGAATCGTTCCATTACAATCCACTGACGGGAAGTTGCCACGGGCCAAAGCTTTGTCCTTGTTGCAATATGAGTCCTTTCTGGAGAAAATGGATGGTGCCCTATACGAAGTGCCGACTACCAAATCACCAGTTCCAATGGACGATTGCAATGTGCATGTCGGAGCATATACTGAAAAATGGAAAGGCGTGATCGTAATAAACGGCCGTAGCGTCCTAAACAATAATTGCATGCAATTGTCGCTGTTTTCTGAAAACAATGTACTGTTTAGTATGAACATTTTCTTCTAGCATCGAACAGAACGCCCATATCCCTGGTATAGATAAGCTTTTGTGCAGAAGCGGATCATCAGTATTATAATGGGATCGTTTAACTTACGACACTCTATAATAAAATTTTGCGCTAAGAGAGGTACAGAGCTGTCAACTGGCCATTGTGTCGTTGTTGGCACGCTACGCTGTAACCGAGTGAGTATTATGCGAAAACTTGGCAGCAGAAGAAACCAAATATAGAATGGGAAACATTTTCTTCTACGGATACGATGGCTAAATTTCCAACAAATAATGCAGGACGGTTTCAACAGATCCCTGGGTTGACAGCTGACGTGAAAGCCTATTGGAAACCCCCTGAAACCGATTGGAAATGCGGATTGCTCAGTGCTGCCACCGAATACTGCAAGTTAAAATAGTCTGGCCTACCGTCTGGAGGTCAGAAACGAACTTCCTTGTGGACACGATAGGTGCGACTGGTTGTCACTGAAATGATTGCATTCAAGAGATGACTTAGAAGAAAAGCGCATTCTGAAAGAAGCGCACAAAGCGGCATTTGCGAGAGCTAGCGCTGATTCCTGGGAAAAGTTTAGTAAGGTTTTTGAGTCGCATTTCCAGAATACGACAAACAGGCTATTCTGATAAACCACTTGCCAGCTTTAAACTAAAAGGTTTTGAAGAACAAGTCTGGAAGCCGTCATAAGAAAGATGAGAACATTTTTCAGCGATGATAAAGGTGTTTTTAGGAACATCTTAACTCCGAACAACCGCAAGGAAACTCTCTTGAACAGAAGTAGTCGAGATGCCAGTCGTTCTGTAGATGAAATCGCACAAGCTGTGAAAAGTTTGAAAAGTTCCAAGGTTGCTTGACTCGATGAGATCCGCCTTGAAACGCTTAACGAATTGAGCGAACGAGGTATATGGCATCCCATATGTGTCTGTGAAGCTGCAACGGCTATGGGCAAGACACCAGCGGACTAGAAAACGGTGGCTGTAGTACACCTGTTCACGAACGGGGACTATAGGGATTGCTCAGATTATTGGAGCATTACTTCAGCAACAAATACACATAGGTGGTCGGTAGTTCAAGGCACCAATCACAGTAGAAGGCAAAACCTTCATTATCAGAGCACTGGGTTACCTATACCCTGACATCGTTAAATCTGTGCATAAATGGCTGCTTGAAGGCATTTGAATTCAACCAGAGAACAATATGATAGTTTTCCAACTGACGCAAATCTTACAGAAAAAACGCTGTTAAACTGCTTCACCATAATGTTAACAAACAGCCACAGAGCAAGAGTCACATTAGAAATGAAATCGAATCATTGTTACGTTGACCCTATTTTTCTGATCAAATTCGTGATTGCGCCCCAACTCTCAGTAGTAACTACGGAAGATGTGTATTCATTGCATATCCTGTATTTTATGCACATAATACTTTATCATCAGACCTGATTTAGAATGGCGTTTGCTTATGACAGATACATTGCTCTCAAGAAAGAGTGCCCTTAGGTGATCATATGCTAGGCAATACCAGAAATGTCCGCTTGTCGAAGACGTACCGCAGATACCTGCTCTGATCCGGATATTCAAATTCCGGTAGGTCTTTCCAATGTACATCTTATCACAGTCTTCGTACTGGACTTTGTATGCAATAATGAGTACTTCTAATGGGTTAGCGTGCATGTACCTTTTGAATAAGACATTGCTCGATGTTCTGCCAGTCTTCTAGTGATGTCTTTAAGATACCTGCTGATATATTGAGATATCTAGGGGATAAATGGTGAAATGACTGTTTCGGTTCACAAGTACGGGGTATCGTTAAGTTCCAGTTGGATGTAGAAGCATTTCGTCAAGCATCCTCCTTCAATGCCTATTCTTTGGAAATGTCTGGCACAGACGCTCAACTTCCGCGTCTTGGCCAAATATGACGTGACAGGTTTCATGGGTTCCTAGACGCATATTTTTCACAACATTCCAAAGCAAACCAGCTGAGATGCTTGTCGCTGGGGTCGAGGAATCGATTGGAGTGAGTTGGTTTTAGATAAATGGAAATCTGTGACTCAGGTGATACTGTCATCTTCACCAGCACGTCCATAACTTATATAAGTGATTCATCACAGTTTCAGTGGTAAAGCGTATTCGGTCGTTGGCACCTCGTCCATTCACGTAATGCATCAAGCTCTCCAACCATTTCTGTTCGTCTTTATTTCGTTGGAAATTAGGATAGAATGTTGTGATTTATAACACATTCTTGTTGGGATAACTAACATACTATTGTACGATCGATTGTACACCGACTTTTAACATTTAACGATTGTTTTTGAACATTCTGTGAAAAAGTTATAAGCTAATGATGCACTCTTTTGATCTATTGTTAATCGTTTTTCTGAGTGTAAGTGACTCCAATGTTCGTGCACATTAGTCACAACCTATTTGCCTCGAACATATGCTTTTCAAACACTAGCGAATGATAATGGAAGCAATATTCAAACCATGTTCGTCAAGGAATGAATGTGGTCTTTGGTTGAACGTTGATTTCTTATGACCTTGTCTGTTGTTATCATGATTCCGTATTTCTGTCTGACACGTGCAGGAAAGTCGAAGACCTTGATGGCCGAGAGTTGAATACTAAGCGTCGCTCGTGCCCTACTGTCCTGTCATTTTTTCGTTGCCAGTTCGACTCATGCGATAGATCCTGTATTTATCTTCCGTTGCTGGACATTTGGACAGAGACGTCTAATGAGAGGGCTAGCTGTTTTTGTTAAGACCGTCTTCCTAAGCTATACAAGCATAACCTATGTTTAACAGTCATCGAAGGAAGTAGCAATAATCATGGGGTGACGTATTTTGATGCCCTTAAGAAAGATCGATTTAGAAGAAGAATACAAATAATATTTTAGGCTTTCCATTCTGGGCCCATAGTTATAAAGATAAGTGTTTGGACGATTCATGGTTCAGGGCACCAAACCCTGCATATAGTACAACACTATATTGCTGACGCGTTTTGCTACAAGTAACGTAACAGTATCACTGCTAGGCTAAGTACAGGTGACTGCTTTAAGACACATGTCCAACAAGCGAACAATTTTTTACAGTCGAAATGTTGTTAAACTGAACGGCCAGAGTGTCAACCAACAAACCACTATAAAGTTCTCATTAGAACGATTTCATCAAATTTGAAATCGCCCCACTCCGCCTCCCGACTATCGCTAATAACCACCGAAGATGTATATTCATTTAACATCTGATTTTTTATTGCCAGTGTGTTCAACGATTTCGTGACCATTCGTAGTCCAGCTGGTTTAACGAGACCAGCGCTCTTCAATCGGCAGTCCGCGAGAGAATTTCGGTTGCCCAGAGTAAATTGAATGAATTTACAATTTTCGTATTCATTAAAATGTTTCATTCTACATTTTTTTGCAATTTTCGCCTTATAACTCTGCATATTTATAAAGTGCACAGTGCAGTATCCGGTATTAGCTATGCTTTTACTATAAAAATCATAAAACACTATTTATATTACTCATCGATGGCCTAGTCTGGGCAAGACGCAGTTCTCCAGACTTTCCAAGAAGGTGACCATGGCA